ACTTCTTCGGATGCATATAGAGTGGAACATATATTGAGGAGATATATATATGTTCCACTCTATATGCATCCGAAGAAGTGGGCAGTAGCCCACGAAAGCTTATGCTTTAATAAATGTGTTAGTCTCTAAGGTGCCACAAGTACTCCTGTTCTTTTTAAGAAATTGTTCAGTACTAGTGTGCTGTGACACTTTTGTATTCTTATGTCTGATTTTGTAAGCAAGTAGTTTTTAAGTCAGGTGAAGCTTGGGGTATGCAAGACAAATCAGATTCCTGAAAGGGCTACAAAAGTCTGGAAAGGTTGAGAGCCATTGATCTAAGGAACAAGTTCTTGCAGCTGTTTGTAGAAGTTGATACGCCTCCCTTCAGCTTACACATTCAAAGTTAAAATCGGTCCTCATGTGCAAAATGTGTGTGTATAGGTAGAGTTTGTTTTAATAAATACTAAGCAATTGCACATAGAAACAATACTGAGCACTGTCTGATTGCAATATTTTCTGCTGCACAGTACCACAATAACATCAGCAAAGTGATTAGAGGATGAGAGTAAAGAATAATCTTGTTATATTAACCATTAAAGTAAAACAGAAATTATCTGTACTGTTATATTAATTTACTGCTGACAAAAATGCAAGGTCAAGGATATGTGACTTAAGAAATAAGCTCCAAATTGCTTGAAGTTTTCTATTTGGTTTTCTGTTTTGGCAAGACTATTTCTTCCTAAGGTACATAGATTCCTGCAGTGCCCAATACAAAATCCTGAATCAAATTTACATGGCAGAATAAAGCTGATCTGTAAAACAAGTCATGAATACTTGCTACTTAGAAAGAGCAATTCCAAGAGCGTGGCCAGAATAAACGGCAAGTTGGTGGTGGGAAGGACTCCATTAATGAGACAACAATTAGTTGCCACATGGAGACGCCTATATCTATTCTTAACGTTTCAGTATCTTCTTAGCTCAGCATTTGACAAAAAATAGATTATGATTCCAAAACTCCTAACATCCGCCCAAGCAACTGCGGACTGGGTTCCTCAATAGGGAGATGTCCCCCTACCCTCTGCTCTTGCCTCCTCCCCTCATAAAAATCTTTCACTGCAGCCTTTGGGAACTAGGTATATTCCTCTGGTTATTAAGCTTGTGGTAAATTTTTCAAGCAATAAGTATTCATATTCTATGGGGTTTCCTCCTTCAGATGAAGGAGAATATACTTTTGGTTCAACTCCAATGTAATTTTTTCTCCTATTTTTAAAAGAAGCTGAGTAAATCACTGAAATTAATGCACAATTCAGGTTTTGCTGAAAACTCATGAAAGCAATCTGTCACTTACTAATTTAGCATTTTATGGTTCATGGGACAATGCCCTTCTGTGGCAACACATATCTGACCCTCTTCCCCATTGCAAATCCGCTAGCTCAGGGTTATTAACAGTAACTGTATTTCATTCTCCTAACAGCGACTTAAAATAAGCATAGGTTTTGTATACAAAAAATCTCTGGAAAAAAAAACCTATACATTTGTTTTATGATGCAAAAGCCAAAAATAACTTCAATGGCACTCTTATATAATCTAGACTTGACGCCAATTCATTACAATCCTTGAGTTTTAATAAAAATTGGACAATAATATATCCAGAATACTGCTTTATAGTCAGAAGTACAAATTTCAGGCCACAAAGAAGGTTCAGCATGCCTCCATGTTCATATTTAATACTTCAAGCAGCTACTGGATGACATGGTAGACTCCGAAGAGGCAGGTTACCTACGCATGATAGCAATTGTGAAAAGGAGATAGGAGAAACCTTTTTGTCTCACAAAGCCTTTCTTACCCAACACAATAAATTACTGTCTTTGGGGAAAATGAAAATTATATATAAAATAATAATTATGTTTATTTTGGGAAGTTTAACATTTTAATTCTCTTACATATTAAATTATTACGTTTAATGTTAGTGAAGTATAATTAAGGCTGCGAGTCTGTTACCAAGGTCACAGAAATCATAGATTTCTGTGACTTTCTGTGACTTCTGCAGCAGCCAGGCTAAGATCAAGCGTAGTATCTGTTCTTATCAGTTTAATCATCTTTTTAATAAGCTGCTACACTGATACACTGTATCTGCCATTATAAAAGAGCTAATGATGCCCCGAGATGCGTCCCGCTGCTCCTAAAACACAGCCCAAGATGCCAACCGCTGTCCCACCATGTCCTACTGCTCTGCACAGGCTCCCAGCCATTGCCCTTAGTCCCACCCCAGAGAACTCTTCGGACCACCACCCCAAAACAGACCCCTGGGGTCTCAGAGACATGGCGAACCAGCAGATCCAGAGGGAAGAGCGAGAACAGGAAGGATCCCCCTGAGATGCTGCCGCAGAAAGCTCCCACATCCTGAAACCAGCCTGCCGAGACATCACCGAGAGGAGGAACATACACCCTGCTCTCCAGCCGCCGAGGGGTTGCCCCGCCGTGCTCCTGCCGCCGGAGGAATCTCCAGCTGATCGCCAGCAGCTGCAGACACCGGAGGAATCTCCAGCTGATCACCAGCAGCTGCAGGCACCGAGAGTCTGCCCCACCGGGCTCCGGCCGCCGGAGAAACCTCTCGCCGATGGCCAGCAGCTGCAGCTACTGGGAGTCTGCCCCACCACGCTCCTGCCGTGGGAAGAATCGCCGGCTGATTGCCAGCAGCTGCAGCCGCTGAGAGATTGCCCCCCCACGCCCTTGCCGCTGGAGAAACCTACTGCCGCCCAGCTGCTGCTCCTACCACCGGGAGTCTGCCTCCACATGTCCCAGCCACCAGAGAAACCCACCGCTACCCAGTTGTTGCTCCTGGCGCCAGGTAACTGCCCCGCTAATCCCCAACACCTACCCCCACAAAAAGACTCTCCCGCGGCTCCGCCACCACTCATGCCGCCGGGGGGCTGCCCCCCCGCGCCCCAGCCGCTGCCACCACTCATGCCGCCGGGGGGCTGCCCCCCGTGCCCCAGCCGCTGCCGCCGCCCATGCCACCGAGAGATTCCCCCCACGCACCCCAGCCGCCGCTGCTTATGCAGCCTGGGGGTTCCTGTCACGAGCCCCAGCTGCTGCTACCCAAGGCGCCGGGGGATTCCTGCCCCACACCCCAGCCGCCGCCGCTTATGATGCCTGGGGAGCTTCCCGCTGTGCTTCAGCGGGCAAAGCTCCAGCCGCCAGGAGACT